TATATATATATATATATATATATATATTGCAATGAGAAGAAATAGTTTGTACATTTCAACAGACAACACCACCGCGCTTGGAAATAAATTGCTTACCTTCTTCAAGGCAATCGTTCGAGCGATGATTTCCTCATCCAGTCTGGCTTGCAACTGAGTAAGTTCCGCCTCTAACTTGGATACCTGTGCCTGGAGCTCCTCGACAGTGCGCTGATTCTCAGCGGACTGTTCGGTTTTCTCGGCCGCCTCGGCTTCCAATCGCCGTTTAGCTCTGTCCAGATCTTGTCGGGCTTTTTGTTCCCGAGCCAAACGCTCTTCGAGGCTTTGTATCGAACTCTCGTGTTTGGCTTTTAGTTTAACCAACTGCTTGTTTCGTTCTTCTTCCTCCGCCAACTGACTGGTCAAATCGTTTACACGATCTTCTAGTGTCTTTTTTGCTTTAACTAATTTGTTATGCTTATCCTCGACATTGACAAAATCGGTGTTCAACTGGGTCATGCGTTGTTCGACGGCGCTCTTCTCCACCTGGATTTTCTGACGCTGTTGTTCTTCCAATTCCAACTGATCGGACAAATCCGCGATCTGGGAGCGATAATAGAAGAAAGGAGGTACAGGTATCACGTATCCACGTAATAAAACTATGAACAAATATTTATTTCTGTGGGTGGAATAAGTTTCAGTAAACTAAAAATCTCGAGGAAAAGAAATCCGAAAAAACTGATTAGAAATAAAAGTGAGAAAAGCAGCCGGTGGTTGATCACACTTATTGCTTAGTTGTTAACCAAAGCCTCTGGAATGCCAGCATTTAGTAAGATTGAGAACTATGTCAATATGAAGTAAGTTTGCACATAAAAATGCAGAGAATTGGCTCCCAGGGTGTATTCACCTGGGGAATACAGAATTTGATCAATTTAGTGTTCAACACGTGCATGGAATGAGAGCGAGCTACAGCACGTGGAATTCTGGTCAATCGTCAGCATACTAGACTTCCAGAACCGAAGCAAATACAAATACAGGGGAACGAGTCCCATTTTTAGTATGTAATCCAAGGTTAGAAATCAAAACACAATATTCCAGAACCACCACGATGACAATCGGTGGTTCAAAGGAACTGTCGAAATAAGCAGTTATCGAGACACGAGACATAAGGCAATTGGATACATGATATTACTCCGGTTAGTAATTGAACTCACTCTTTCTTGAAGCCGTTTTTGTTCCAATTCCAAGGTTTGCAGTTTGCCTTTATCTTCCAAGCTTTTATTTTCCACCTCAGCGTATTCGTCTTCCAGAGTTTGTAGTTTCTCCAAAAGTCGCTCGCGTTCCTAAAGACGAGATAGAAGTAGGACGTAAAAATTAATGAAGAACGATACGTGCGTCGGTGTATCAGTATTTCCGAGACCTAAAAATAGTCAAACCTTAAAAGGCCCAAATCCAGGTCTCTGGTTTTAAATACTGTAAGCAATATATATGTACAACGTGAGTTGAACACAGGAAAGACTCAATCACATCAGAACAGAACGTACGGCTTGCATATTTTGATTGGATTCGTGTTCTTGTTGCAACTCGGCTGAAAGTTGATTCTTCTCCTTGGTGAGTTTCTCGTAGGCACGCTGAACCTCGGCATGTTCTGTGCTGATTTTCTCCAAAGTTTCCCGAACCTGACAACGGAACAGTAGAATACGGTAAATTAGAGCGATACAAACAAAGAGATAAAAGAAGCACAAAGTCTCAGATAGAACGAGATTACAAGTTAAAAGTATTTTGACAGAAAGAAAAAGAATAAAGATCATGCGTTAGTGGTCATTGGACAGAACGACCACCGGAGATAACATGAAACGCGAGCTAAGCATCAAGTGCAAAGCATTCCATGGCAAGAAAATCTCTCATTTATTTGAGTTTTCAGAATGCATGTTATTCTCGAAACTGCAGTTCTGTATCACAGTTCACAGTGCGATCTAATAATCGTCAAATGGTACAGAACGATTATTTCTGATTAGTGCTTCTCTCGACTCCAGTGACCAAAGTGTTGCCATCACCACGAGTTTCGTTGGGTTTTTTCTTTTGATGTACAAAGTAGAATTTCATTCCGTTCTCTTTCGATCCTCTACTGAGCTTTAGACTTCCATATGTGGTGGGACGATTTGTAACGTCTATCGACATAGCCTAAATCATAAATATCATCAATCGTGTGTTGAATTTTTGTTTTTCAACCTCGCGATTAGCAACATTTTTAGATTTTATTCAGCCGAATTGGAGCTACAGACAGTCTGATCTACTTTCTATGGTCATACGGACAGTCCATTTTCCTCCATTAGATGTAATCGGTTCAATGTGCACGAACTCACCTTACGCAGCTCATCTTCCTTTGCCGCAACAATTTCTTCTTGACGCGTGACAGTGAGCAGAGGTCGAACTTTTGTAAACAACCGCCACCAGGGCCAATTACGCAGCTTCAAGTAAGCGACACAATTACGTTGGATGACTGTGATGGCCTGTAAATGTTGAATTCGCTGTTCACGCGCTCTGAATAGAGAAAAATGAATGGAATGATTAGGGGAATTCAATGTGCTCCGTTTCCAGTTGATTTTATCATTAAAAGTACACTTTTTTGAGGCGGTTTCAGTCGCTGTTTTTTGGAAACCCATTTAGATGAAGGAGTACGGAGAAGATGAGAATGATGGAAGGAGTGTCAACTTGATAATGCAGAACTTTCGTGTTGCCTAGGATGGAGTAGATACACGAGTGCCACTGTTTACGAGACCCAATTATATCAGTCTGTAACCAGCGATCCGAACGATCCCCAGGTTTCCGAGCGGGGAGCCTAACGCGACCCGTATGACCCAGTCTCCCGATTAGGGTTTTCACACCCTCACGCCAGACCTTAGCTAGAGTGGGGTCTTCTAGCTATCTGCCTTCGAAGACATCGCATGCCACGGCAGTCTACTTGGTGGCATGTGTAACATGCCCAAGTCAACATCGTTTATGGAGATGGAGCACTTGCTCAAACGAGCTATCCTAATTACGAGGAACTCTGCGCCTAACTGCACAATACAGTGGAAACAGCGGTGTTCAATCATCGATAGTCCATCTTTATCCTGTTCCCGTAACGGTCAAGTTTCTGTACCAAACAAACCGCTTTGGCCACATTCTGTAAAGCAAACCAGTAACAGCAAAAGTTGGATATTATCAAAAGTATATGATGTATAAAGCATGTTGTTATCCGACCATAAATGACCTCCATCGAACTACGTAGAACTATATGAACTACGAATAAACTGCTACCCATTTACGAGTCTGAATATCACAAGCTCTTGATCTCCCGACAAATCAAATGCATCAATCATTCGTTAAATCAGTCTACTGACTGTAAGTTCATTACTTTGACGAATCTGATGATAACAATAATAATATTGTCGAAATAGTCCCACAGAGTACATTTAAAACAAAACAACAGAGTGGAGAACAAGCTCATTTCCAGTGATTCGTATTCATGGCAATACATCACAATATATATCACCACTTGGGAATCAAATTATGGGAAAATAAAATCACATCACAGATTATTTCTAAGTAGTGATATATATTCTGACGCACTGGTATGAATAATAATATTGATAAGAATAACAATAATACTTTTGTCTACTGAATGGATACACAGAATAAATTTTCAGCGAAGGGAAAGTGATTAATTATAGAGCTGCCACAGAGTGTAATAAACAAAAAATTCCAGTGGCAGTGGCGGGTTTAAAGATATGATAGCAACGTGCACTGTTCGAAGACCAATACCCCAGAAGTGATAATTCGAAGACCCCCTCGCCTAACACTGGCAGAAACTACGAACCCGAGTCGATACCAAGTACAAGGGTGCGACCACCATGTCCGTGAGCCCCATTATCTCAGCATCAGGACATTCTCTTAACTGTCTAATAGGCCATCCGAAAGACCAACATCTTTTTCTACTTTCAGTAATTCAATTCCAGCGAATCGTCTTAATGCAGCCAACTGATATACAGGTATTGACCAAACTCGTGCAACATCCTAGTTTTCATTACATT